AGCTAAGAATAGCCAAGAGAGTTTTAAAGAATATCAAGGTGGGAAAATTTATTTGCCAGTTATTAAAACTTAAGAAATCCAATTATTAAATCAATATTAGATTGTCAGATTGATACATACATAGATCAGCGGAATAAATTAGCACAGGAAAGACACATACATGAAACTTGTTATCTGAAAGAAGAGCAATACAAATCAGTGGGAAAAGGATATTTGGCAAATGGTGCTAGGATAATTGGCTATCCAAATAGGAAGGAAAAAATAATAAAGATACCTTTCTGACATATATAGAAAAATAATCTGCAGGTTGATTGAAGACATGAATTTCTCTTTAAACTTTCAGAAAAAAATTTAAGAGGGTGTCTTTATGATCTCAGGATAGGGAAAGATTTCTTCAATAGATATAAACATTTTGACTAGAAGAAAAAATATATGAATAGAGTACATTAAAGATAAAAACTTGGGTATTACAAAAGACATCATCAATAAAAGACTACCCCAGCTACAGAAAGGGAGAATATATTTACAGTAAATTTAACTGAGAATTGATTAGCATCCAGAATTTAGAAAGTTCGTTCACAAAAATAAATTCATACTAATAGAAAAATGGTTAAAGAATATGCAGGCCATTTACAAAAAAATAAAATTTGAAGAACTACTAAAAAATGAAAAATGTCAATCTCATCAGTAACCCAGAAAATGCAAATTAAACAACAGTATAATAAGTACTTGTTGAATGAATGAAGGATATAAGAGATTTAAGTTATAGTAAAATTTTCTCCAGATTAAAGTCAATCTCTGAGGATTGAATGTGTTTCCCTCAGTAATCCACATTGACTTCTTTTTTTTTTTTTTAAGGTTTTATTAATTTATTTGAGAGAGAGCATGAGCAGGGGAGGAGTAGAGGGAGAGGAAGAAGCAGACTCCCCCCTGAGCAGGGAGCCCGATGCGGGGCTTGATCCCAGGACTCTGGGATCACGACCTGAGCTGAAGGCAGATGTTTAACCGACTGAGCCACCCAGGCATCCCCACAACTGACTTTTGAACTTATTTTAATCACTGAGAACTCAGATTTAGTGTTTTTTTCTCATTTGAAAACCCTATCAGGTGGGGAGAAAAAAGGTGGTTTGCATTGAAATTATTGTATCCATGACCATAACTCCAACCTCCTCTTGAGACTCATAGGGTATAAGAGTAATAGGCAGGAACCAGATCCTGTATGATGGTAAAATTTTAGTGGGCTGTGTCAGGTAACTATCTTAAAAGTCCTGTGAGTAACAATAAAAACATGGATAATTTCTTTTAAACTCAATAAAAAGTTTAAAACCATTTATGTTATCAGTACTCCATGATTATTTATCAGAATTACATATATTTGTCATATTTCACCACTAAATTATGTGTACTTTCAAGGAAGAAACTAACATAGAATGTATACCCTGTGTGTGCATATTATATATGCATTTTTAAAATTTTTATAATTATAATTAGTATGTATTCCATATATATGTGTGCTATGTATAACATACACAGAAAAGTAAAGAAAACAAATATAAAGCTAAGTGAATGATTACAAGGTCCAAAACTCATATAACCACAACTCAGATAAAAAAAAATAGAACATTTCCAGGACCTCAGAAGCCCCTTTGTAATCGTAATCTCTCCCTTATCCTCAAAGGTAATTGAAGATAACCATAGTCTTTAATTTTACACTATAGTTTTGCCTGTATTTGAGCTTTATGTCAGTGGAATCAAAACCATGTATTCTTCTGTTTTGGCTTAACATAATGTCTTTGAAGTTTATCCATATTCTTGTATGTAGATGTAGTTTGTTTATTTTTGCTTCTATAAAATATTCCAGTTTTAAATTTATCATGTTTATCTGTTCTTCTTTTGATGGATAGTTGCAGTTTCCAGTTTGGAGGCCATTGAGAATAATGCTGTTACCAGTATTTTTTGTCATGGCCCTTGGTGCTCAAGGGCACACATTTTGGTTAATGTACATTCTTAGGAGTTATATATATGTTTAATTTTAAAGTTGTACTAATTTACATTCCTACCAGCAGTGTAGGAGAGTTTTCATTATTTTACATCGTCACCAACATGTTCTATAATTTTAGCTCTTTATTGTAATTTTAATTTGTATTTTCCTGATGCCTAATGAGGTTGAGCAGCTTTTCTCCATTTAACCTTTATGTGATGTGCCCATTCATGTCTTCTTAACACTTTTCTATAGGATTGTCTGCCTTTTAATTGATAGTTTTTTGTATATTCTAGATACAAGCCCTTTGTCTATTTTATGTGTTGGAAATACCTTCTCCATGTTTGTATCTTGTATTTTTACTCTCTTTAAAAGTCTCTTTGTTGAACAAAAGTTCTTAATTTTAATGTGGTTCAGTTTATCAGGTTTTTTTTCCACTTATGTTTAGTGCTTTTTTGTGTTCTGATTAAAAAATCTTTCCCAACCTAAGATTTATAAAGATATTCTATTCTTGTCTAGAAATTGTTTTGGCATTCACAGTTAGATCTTCATTTCACCTAGAATTGATTTTTATGGGTAATGTTTTATTTTTTATGAGGATATCCAATTGACCCAGAACCAATTTTAAAAAGATTATTCTTTTTTTTTTCATTTTTTTATTAACATGTAATGTATTATTTGTTTCAGAGGTACAGGTCTGTGATTCATCAGTCTTAGACAATTCACAGCGCTCACCATAGCATATACCCTCCCCAGTATCCATCACCCAGCCACCGCATCCCTCCCACCCCCTCCAATTCAGCAACCCTGTTTGTTTCCTGAGATTAAGAGTCTCTTACGGTTTGTCTCCCTCTCTGGTTTCATCTTGTTTCATTTTTTCCTCTCTTCCCCTATGATCCTCTGCCTTGTTTCTCAAATTCCACATATCAGTCAACCAGAGAAAGACAATTATATGATCTCACTGATAGGTGGAATTTGAAAAGATTTTTCTTTACCCCTCACTGCTCTGGAGTGCCCCTTCAATCATAATTCAGGTTCTAAATGAACATGAATTTATCTTTGTATTCTTTATTCTCTTCCATTTGTCAGTTTTGTTTATTTTTATACAACTATCACACTAAATGACTGTAACTTTGTAATAAATCTTGATAACTGGTAAAGCAAGTCCTCCCCCATTCTACTTTTGCAAGAATGCCTTAGCTATTCTTGTTATGTTTTCACCTATATTTTAGAATCAACTTTTAAATTTCTGCAATATCATCTTTTGGAATGTTAACTGAGATTGCATTGACTACCTATAGATCACCTTGAGGAGAACTGCTATCTTCACAATACTGGCTCCTATAAACCATGAGTATCTCTGTCTACTTATTTAGTCTTTAATTTCTCTGCTGAATGTTTCGTAGTTTTCTGTACACAGTCTTACACATCTTTTGTTTAAATCTTTTAGATTTATTCCTAGACATTGGGTTTTTGTATGGTATTGTAAATGATATCTTTTATTCTAACTTTGTTGACAGTATATAGAAATATAATTAATTTTTGTGTATTGACCTTGTATCCGACAACCATGCTGAGGATCATTATTCTAAGACTTTATCTGTGTGTTCTCTGGGATTTACCTATACCTGTACATGATTAACTATGGATAATGGATAATGTTTTTTTTTTTCCTTTTCAGTCTTTATACCTTTTATTTCTTACTTGCCTTATTGCATAAACTTAGACCTCCAGTAGAGTGTGAATAAATGTCAAGAAAATTTGTCCTTGTGTCATTCCCAATTTCCAAGGGAAAGTTTTCAACATTCTCATCCTTAAGTATGATGTTTGCTGTGCGTTTATGTAGGAATCTATTGTTATATTAAGGAAATTAACTTCTTAAATTCCTGAGGTTTTATCATGAATATATCTTAAATTTCATCAGATGCTTTTACTGTAACTTTTGAGACGATTATATTTGTTGATCTTTTTGCATGTTTATTTTCCGTTTTGGGGGGGGTAGGCTTATCTTTATTATTTCCTTCACTTGATGCTCTTTGGGTTTAATATGCTTTTCTTCTAACTTTTTGGGATGGACCTATAGTTCATTGACTATAAGCCTTTTTTCCTAGTATATACAATTAAAGCTATAGATTTTTTTTTGAGCAAGTTTGAGGTATTACATTTTCACTGTTGATCAATTCAGAATACATCCAGATTTGTTTTGTAATTTCTCCTGTGGCCCATGGGTTATTAAAAAGTAATTTCTGAACTTCAAAATGTATTAAAATTTTCCCTTTTTGGTTTTTGATTAAGCTTCATTGCGCTCTTGTCAGGTAACATACTCTTGTTGGCTTTCAGTCTTTTTGAGAGTTGAGATTCATTCTATTGCTAGCAAATTATCAGTTTTAAATGATCCATGTGATCTTGAAATAATAAGTTTTGTACATTTACTGTGTTCTATTATATGTTTTCTTGATGTGAATAAAAATATCAATCATTTTATGCTTACTGAGAGCACTTGGCTTTTTTCTAGTCCTTCATTTCTAGTATCTCTTACTCACTCCTGTATAATGTGGAATCTTTGTCCTGCCATTTCTCTTCTGTGTGGAGGTTTGTCCTGGAACAGAATTTTAGCCAATTTTCACTATTGGAAAAAATACGGCTATAGTTTATCTTTTCAGTTCACTTCTAGTAGCAGGAATAAAAAAAAAAAAAGTGGAGAGTATTTTTTTTACTTCTGCTAACCTGAAGAGTAAACCAGGGAAAACTGAGAATTAAAATGTAAGAAATCAGGAAAATTAGTTCTTTGCAGCTCTTCTTTTTCCCACTAGCAGTAGGTGGTTGGCTTACGTGTATAGAAGGGCCTTTTCTTAAATTCCGAAAACATGTGTTGAAATTGATCATTCATTTTGAAAAGCAGTGGAGACTAGCAGTTTTGCATTGGATATATCAGATAATAACTACCTTGTTTGTAGTTTTTAAATATTGAGCATTAGCCAGTGAACTACAGATTTTTTTTTTTTTTACTTTGTTTCAGATCGACTAAATGAAGTACTTAGACGGTATCAAATGGAAAATTTTTCCAAATATTCATCAGTGCAGGTATGTATATTAGTTAAGGTCTAACAAACTTGGTTCAAATTTATATATATAAATAAATAAATTCTATTTAGGATTATTCTCATGTGAAGTTGCCTATAGCACTTTGAAATTTGCTTACAATGGGGATTTTTATAAGGGAATGCTTGTTTTTGCTTAATAAAAGTTCTTTGACCATAGAAATTGCCTTTTTTTTTCTGATTTGGAGCTTAGGTATTATGTATGATGTTAAAATGTCTGAGTTCTAAAATGAGAATTCATTGACGTTTTGAAACCTCCTAAAATCTTTTCTTAAGATACATTTCGTAGTAAGCTTTAACTTGGAATTCTCATAAATTATGGCAAGCAAAAACTAAATCAAAACAGTAAATAATATACGGCATTGTTTTAATATTTCTTTCCTTGGGTGCATGTTCTTATTTAAATATCCTGTTAAAATTTTTTTTGAGCAATAAGCTATATTTATTGGTGGACTCTTGAGTTACACAATATTAAAAGAAAAACAGTAGCTCCTATGTTAGTGATAGCACCCTACTGAATTAATAAGGACATGTTTTGCTTTTGACATCAATGAATCTTGTAACCAAAACATATTGTTTTGGGGCACCCGGGTGGCTCGGTTAAGTGTCCAACTTTTGATTTTGGCTCAGGTCATGATTTCAGGGTTGTGAGATCAAGCCCTGCATTGTTCCGTGCTGGACATGGAGCCTGCTTGGGATTCTCTCTCTTCCTCTCCCTCTACCCTCACCCCTCCCTCCCAGTCATGTGCCCTCTCTCTTAAAAAAAAAAAAAAAATTGTTTTTAAGGTATTAAAAAGGAAGTTGTTTTTAAGAAATTAAAAAGTAATAGTTTATCTTGTTGACTTGACTATACTTATCCCTAAAGATATTAAAGATACTTTCTTTAGTGTAGTCTCAACATTTAGCCTGCTGCTCTATTTTTATTTACAAAGACCAGACTGAGTCCAGAGGGTCTTAAAACTATCCAACCACTATGTTAATCATATTGTTTTACTTACCTTATTTTGTTAACTCATACTTAACTAAGAACTGTTATCATTTAGGTGATAGAGAATCTTTCATAATACAGCAGCCTCTAAATTTTGTTCAGGTTCTTAGGTTCTGCTTAATGTCATATAGAATAAGCAGGTTCTTCTGCTTAGTGTCATATAGAATATGCTTAAAAGGAGGATTCAAACAAAAGAGTGATTTTAAAGCCCGAGAAGATCTCTGGGCATGGTATTATATCTACCGTCACTGTGGTTGACTTGGTTATGAAAGATGGTTTTACCAGATAAAACAATGACTGTATGTAACCCTTTAGATGCACCTGCCTTGTACATTGTGATTAATTAATTAAAGCCTCATGGTAACATACTACGTAAGGTCAAGTCTTCTCTTATTTAATAGTGTACTCTCCTGTGAAATTATAGCTCCTTTAATTCTCTAAAGGTACATGCTCTTCTTTTACGGGTACTATTCTTTTTTTTTTTCTTAAGATTTTTTATTTATTTATTTGATAGAGACATAGCGAGAGAGGGAACACAAGTAGGGGGAGTGGGAGAGGGAGAAGCAGGCTTCCTGCCTAGCAGGGAGCCTGATGCGGGGCTCGATCCCAGCACCCTGGCATCATGACCTGAGCCGAAGGCAGACGCTTAACGACTGAGCCAGCCAGGCGCCCCACGGGTACTATTCTTATAGTCATACAGTCAAATCTTGATTCCTATCTCTTATTTTTGGTAGTACTGTATTGTTATTGCCTAAGAGTCTTCTGCAGTTCACTGTCTCTTCAGAACATGTTGCTGTCTCAAAATACCAATTCCCATGGGTCTCGCCTTTCACTGCGTAGTTTGCAGTAATGAGAAAGGAGGCGACATGAGAGTATGAGAGAGAAAGAGAGAGATCAATCTGCTTTCTAGCAATAAGGTCCATATCCTTGGCCATAGGTAGTGCATTCTTCGGTTCTTCACCCCAGAAACATTATTCTGGTTTCTGAAAAAATGTCCAAGAGGAATTTTTTAATTTGTACTTTTTTCAGTTTATAGTATTTTTACTTTTTTTTGTTTGTAGACATAGACGTAGGAGGAAACCATTATCAAAGGTTATGTGAAACCCAGGAGCACTGGCTGAGATCTCTTGTCACTAACTTTAGTGATTGCCACTAGCAACAGAAATCCTTCATAAATTTGTTTGCCCTTTTTGTCAGCTATGTTTCCCAGGTGCCTAAAACAATTCTTGTTAGTAAAAGCACAATAAATACTTGTTGAATGAATGAAACAATTATATCCCTCCTTTACTTTCCTCCTACCTACTTATCTTCCAACGTCATTTGAGCTCTGTATGCCACGTACAGTGAAAGTGGAGATGAAAAATTCATACAATTTTGTGAAATACAGTTCATGCTTTTTAGTTCTATTTTTCAAGATAAAATCCCAATGAAATGCCCTCCTCCTTGCTCACACTAGGAAAATTGCCAGGACTTGTGTTAAATGAACATACTTTATGAAACTTTTCTATAGACGAATAAAGCTGCCAGAATTTGATATTTATTTCTTGTATTTTAAGTTGGAATTTCAAACTTGATTTTCTGTAGAAACTGTGAATAAGTGATAGTTAAAATTCTTTTGTGCTATCACTATATAATGATCATTTAGGCTACCCATGGATCAAAGAAAGTTTTGTGAATTGTCTTAAGATTTTTTGGTATAGTATTGTTTCTTAGGGAAATAAATGATACATTAATAATAACTAATGATACATAAATTGTATGGATTTAAACTGAAAATCGGACTTTTCCAATGTGTAGAATAGCTTGTATATTTAGTATATTTGGTTCATTATACTTTAATAATTCATCTTTTATTTATTTATTTTAAAGATTTATTCATTTAATTTGAGAGAGAGAGCATGTGCACGCATGCACCAGGGTGAGGGGCAGAGGGAGAGCGAGGAGAGTCTTAAGCAGACTCTGGGCTGAGTACGGAACCCAATACAGGGCTTGATCTCACAACCTGAGATCATGACCTGAGCCAAAATCAAAAGCTGGAATCGACTTAATCAACTACACCATCCAGGCACCCCCATTCATCTTTTAAAAAAAACTAATTAAAATTGTATGTAACCTTCTAAAGATATTTAAATAACAACTAGTTTCTTGAATGATCCCTTCAGGGTTGTTATAAAATTTAGTTGTCTTTCTTTGATTATTTTGTGTTTTCTATATAAATAAAAAGTATCTCAAGTGGCATTGTTCTCTGAGCGTGTACTAGCGGGCACTGCATGACAAATATTGAAAGATTTTAGTCAGGACTGTGGAAAATTTCCCTCTTTTCCGAATTCTTTGTTCCTACCTTTTTTTTTTTTTCCCCCTTAAATACCTGTCTTTTCTCACTTGTAGGCTGGTTAATTCCTCTTTAAAATCTATGCCATACCAGTACATTTGTGTACTGGTTAGTGTTTTGGTTCTCTTCAAACTTGCTGGAGGGACAGGATGGAATATTAAAAATAAGTTTATTTTCTCTGAAAACTCTCCTAAAAATATCTTCCTCTTCTAGCTTGGGACTGTTTCTACTCATTCTACTTGAACCCAAATTTAAAGTTAAATTGAGATCTAGTCTGCTGGGAAAGAAATGGAACACATAAACTGGAAAGAGGGAAGGAATAAACATAAAAGCATAGTGCCAAGAAGGTATGAGCTGGTTCTGGAAGGGAAAGACAGTCATAGTGCAAATGTATTGATTGATTCAACAAACATTATTAATTCAGCAAATCTTGAGTGCATGCCTGTGCTGGGTAAGCTTTGGGGACAGAGCTATGATTAAGATAGACAAAGGAGGGGCGCCTGCATGGCTCAGTCAGTTAAGTATCTGCCTTCAGCTCAGGTCATGATCCCAGGGTCTTGGGATCAAGTCCTGCATCGGGCTCCTTGCTCGGCGGGGAGCCTGTTTCTCCCTCTGCCACTCCCCCCTGCTTGTGCTCTCTCTGTGTCTCTCTCTCTGACAAATAAATAAAATCTTAAAAAAAAAAAAGATAGACAAAGGATCCTACTTCAGTGGAAGAGATATGAGTGAATAATTAAGTAATTAAAATTGCTATATCAGAGGCGCCTGGGTGGCTCAGTTGGTTAAGCGACTGCCTTCGGCTCAGGTCATGATCCTGGAGTCCCGGGATCGAGTCCTGCATCGGGCTCCCTGCTCGGCGGGGAGCCTGCTTCTCCCTCTGACCCTCCTCCCTCTCATGCTCTCTCTCTATCATTCTCTCTCTCTCAATAATAAGTAAATAAATAAAATCTTTAAAAAAATTAAAAAATTAAAAAATAAAATAAAATTGCTATATCATATGAAGAAAACAGTGTCCTGAAATAGAGATTAACGTGTATGTAGTGTAGTAGTGGTGGTTGAGGCTGAGACATATTTTTGGTAGAAAGGTCAGAGTAGGCCTCTCTACCACAGTAGTATTCAGGTTGGCATTGAAAGTTGGAAGAATGATCTAGACAAGTAGACCAAAAAGAGGCCCTGAGGCAGGAAAGAATTTGACTTCTTGTATAATATATAGGAGCTGGTCCCAACTATAATCAAATAATAGTTATTTGAAAATACATTGACAGGAACAGGAGGGCCACTCCTGTTGATCATGAGTTAAAAAAATATAAGACTCAATAGATAAAATATAGCAAACTACCTGTAGTATTTGAATTGAGTCAAATTACTGGCTTTCTAGGCCAGCACTGTCCAATAGAACTTACTATGGTGATGGAAATGTTGTATAATTTTGTTGCTATCCAATATGGTAGCCATTAATCACATGGGACTTGAAATTAAGCTAGTATAATTGATAGATGTTTTATTTAATTTTCATTTTAAATACATGAAATTTAAATTTAAATAGATGCATGTGGCTTGTGGCTATTGAAGTGGGCAGTGCAGTTCTAGACTGTCCATCTGATGAATTACTCAGGTTTAAAACCTTGAAGGGTTGATTTTACATTCCCATGATGATATTAGAAAATTAGTGATTTGGGGTGCCTGGGTGGCTCATTCGGTTAAGCATCTGACTCTTGATGTCAGCTCACGTCATGATCTCAGGGTCATGAGATCCAGCCCCATGTCAGGCTCTGTGCTAAGCATGGAGCCTAAGATTCTCTCTCCCTCTCTTTTTGCCCCTCCCCTGTCACATGTATGCACAAGCGCGTTCTCTCTCTCTCAAAAAAAAAAAAACCAAACTATTTAACACTTTAAAGAGAGTCTAATTGTAAGAGTTTAGCAATTTCTTACACTGTACATCAACCTTCATTGATAAATGATGAAAATCCATCTCCTCATGATATGATTTGCTGCAACACTCGAAAATATGCAACAACACTTTCACAAAATGCTAGTCAGCCTATATTTTCTTCCAAAGGATGGTAGATAGGATGCCATTAACATATTTCATAGCCAGTGATATAAAGTAAGGGGCACAAAATTAAACATTCAGAACTGTGATTAGAATACTTAGAGAGTGTGTATTTTCCTTAGAGGAAGAGAAGTATCCAGAAAATTTGTCTACCCAACTAAAATCCAGTATTATTGACATTCTTTCTGTGATACACTCTCACCATCATCTCAGGAAGTCATTTTCGGATCAAAATAAATAGAAATTAATTGTAGAGTATCTGTTATTCAAGATATATAAAATGCTCCGTATGTTTCTTTTATTTAGTATAGTTTGTTTAAATTTTGATTTAGAGAATATAAAAAGGATATTTATAAATGCTTTTTTCTTTTTGGTGAGCATAGCTTAATGGATAGGATTGTTAGTCTTGTACACCTGAAGCTAATATGACATTATATGTCAATTATATTTCAATTAAAAATATATAAACATAAATAGATGTAAATGTATAAATACATATATATAAATGCTTTTTTAAAAATATTTTATTTTTTTAAGTATCTCTACACCCAACATAGGGCTCGAACCTACAACCCCGAGATCAAGAGTCACACTACTGAGTGAGCCAGCGAGGTACCCCTATATAAATGCCTTTTTAGTCGATTTCAATCTTATTCTCCCAACTTGATTTTTTCCACTGGGTCTTGAATTATTAAGTCATATGATCTTTTATTCTAAAAGTTTGCTAGCAAGTGGGAAAGGATTGCTGAATCTAAATTTTTATTCTTTTGAATATTTTTCTTATATTTTGATTTATTATGTTTATCTTTATAATCATGTAATTTTTATAATTTGGAATCTTACATCAGTATTTCCTTAGCAACTATCATTAGAAAATAGTTTCAGAACAATGTCTTTACAGAATTCAGTTTAACTAATATATCTTGAGTACCTCCTTTATGTAAAGCACTATACCAAGAGCTTTAGTGATATGAAAATGTATATAATAAAATTACCATTTCACAGGAACCTAAAGACTAATAAAAATATGGGCTGAGACAAATATTAAATAACTAGGTATAAAGCATATTATTCATGTCTTAACCTTAAAGCCAAATGCAAGTATCAGGGAAAAAGGAGATCATATATAGTTGGAGAGATCAGGGAAAGTTTCCTGAAGGATGTAGCATGTCTGATGGGTACTGAAAAGTAGGAAGATTTCTAAAGAACTTCAGTGAGAGCTAAAAGAAGGGGTAGTGGAGAACATTGCAGATGGACCCACTGGCATGATAAGCAAAAGGAGGTGAGAAAGTGGGGGTTGTATTTAGGGAGTAAAACATACTTCATTTTTTATACTGTGTTTGACATATATGAAAGAAGTAACGGAAAATAACATTAGGGAGGGTAGGTTGTTTGTATGTACATTGTAGAGTGCCTTAAATGGTGAAGTTGAGGAGTTTGGATTTAATTTAGTAAACACTGGGTGATTCCTAAATATTGTTTAGAAGAATGATAGAGTGAAACATAATAAGAATAACAATTAGGAAACTTATAATTGGTGGGTGGGAGGTAAATGAGGGCTTGAATTACTATTTTGTAGACTGCTATCCATCTCCCAACTATTGTCATAACACTGGTAGTTGATTTGATTTTTATAAAAATTCCTAAGAAATTTGAGAAATAATATTTTTAAAGTTTGAACTACTTAGTTATCCCAAGATTTTTAACTAACTTTTGAACATTTGAAAGTTAAAATACCACTTGTCCATTAATTAATTATTTAAATAATACAATAACTATTTTTAATAGTCTAGGATTAAGTAAATCCTTCCCTGAAATTACATAGACTACTGAATGCATTTATTCTTTAATCTATCAGGGTTCTCTCTGGAAGGTTACCTTTTTTTGTCTGATTCATCTTATAGTCCTGGATCCATGTCAACATGTCTGTGAGGCTGTATATTTTGGGAACTAATGCTTTCTGTGTTGGTTGAATGCTCATAACATATACCTTGGTTAGCCAATAGATTTTCCTCCATATTAAGAAAAAAGAAATTAAAAAAAATAAAGAGCAAAGATTTATTAAGAGCTTTTTATATGTCAGGAATTATGCTCAACACTTTGCACGTATTGTTCCTTTATTTAAATTTATTTCAGACATACATCAAAGTGCAGAAGATATTAAAACTAATATCTGTGTAGCTGCCACCCAGTTGTGTCCGTTCTTAACTTTTTACCATGTTTATTTAGTCTTTTTTTTTTTAAAGAAATAAAACATCGCAGAAAAAATTTAGTCTCTGTACCTCTTGTCCATTTCCTTCTGTCCTTTCCCAGTGGTAATCACCATCCTAAATTTAGTGTTTTTCAATAGGATACATGATCCAATACTTTTAGTATATAGGTTCATATTTGAAATCATTTTATTGTATCATTTGGCAAGTTTAAAATCCTTGTAAAACATCCTTCTGAGCCATCGGTGGCATTATCAGACATTTTGTTTTGGTCAGTGTGATTGGTGTAAAATGATATCTCACTGTTGTTTTATTTGTATTTCCCTAATTATTAATGAGGTGTGCTTGCTTTTGTCTGATCTCAGATTTCCTCTTTATTTTGCTGGTCAATACTCTTCACTGACACATGTGAAAAGTTTTCAGTTTGTGGGTTTTTATTTATCTTGTTTATATGCTTTATAGTGGAAAAGTTTTAACTTTTAATATAGTCAAATGTGTCAGTGCTTTACTGTTGTGTCTTAAGTCCTTCACTTGCATAAATGTGCTTTTCATATTTAAGTCTTTAATCAATCTGGAATTTCTTATTGTGTATTATGTAGGAAGGATGTCTGGTTTTTCTCTATATGAATAACTTCTTGAAGTAACCTATTTGCTTTTGTGGTATGTCCGTAGTGATACATATAAATCTTGTTAATTCCTTGAACTACTTATGGGATCCTGTTGTATTACTTTCCTTTAGCCTATCGATGGACATTTTATCTATTATTACAGTAAAAGCTGCACTGAACATCCTGTACATCTCCTTGTGTTTGAGTATTTATTCATACTTTACACCAGATAGTAGGTTTTTGGTCATGTTACGAATGTTGCTGGCCTTTTAACTTTGCTTATGGTACTTCAGCTGCATAGAAGCTTTAAATTTGGATGTTGTAAGATATCTCAGTCTTTCTGTTCATAGATTTTACTCCTGGTGTCTTCCAGCTAGAAAATGTATTTTGAATGGAAGTATTAGGCACTGCTTGGTATATTGGTGAACAAAACAAAAGTCTCTACATTTTTGGAACTTAAGAAAGCTTTCTCTATCCCATGGTCAAAAATGCATTTTCTTTCAATAATTATTAAATATTTTTTAAAACATTTGGATCTTTATCTGTAATTTATTTTTCCGTTTAGTACATGCTGGAATCTAATTTTATTTTGTTACCTAACACTGTTACTTAAAAGCAGTATTTTGTCTATTCAGTTATAATTCCACTTCTTTTATACATCATGTTTCTATAAATTTTTAAATCTATTTCTGGATTTCCTATACTCTTCTGTTTGTTACTGTGTCTGTACCATAGTGTTTTAATTACTCTAGCATTAACAATGTTTTGATATGTAGTAGGGCAAGTCCTTTCCTCTTTTTTCTTTTCCCATTTACCTTTTTTTTTTGGCCAGGTTATCTTGGCTATTCTTGTACATTTACTCATTCATAGGAACTGTAAAAATCTGTTTAAGATAAAATTTCATAAATTATTCTATTGGAATCTTTTTGGAATTGCACTGCAGTTACAGTGAATTTGAAAGAATTAATATATTTACAGTATTGACCGTTCACATATCCATGAATGGTATAGTACCATTTATTTATATCTGTTTTTATGTCCTTCAGTAAAGTTGATTTTTCAGTAGTTATTGCAACTTTTTTTTGTTTTGTTTTTGTTTTTTATTCTCAAGTACTACCTTTTGTTACAGTAGTGAATAGGGTATTATTGCCTTTTACATTTTCAAATTACTGCTGGCATTTGGGAAAGCTGTTCTGTTGATCTTCTGATAACTTAGTATATTCTCTTATTAGACCTAATAATTGGTAGATTATACATAGGTTTCTAGGTAAATGGTCAAATTGTCTGTAAATAATAATAGTATTGTATCTTCTTTTTCAACCTTTAAATTTTGAACTCTCTACCCTGGTTCCACTGACTAGAACCTCTAGTACAATGTTGAAGTTAGCAGTGATAGTGAGCAGCCTTGCATTAATAAGCTGCATTTAATGCAGTGTTTTTGATGTTTTACCATGGAAAATAGTAATTGATGTAGGTTTCTGGTAGAGAGTCTTTATCAAGTTGAGATAATTCTTCCTATTTCAAGTTTGCCAAGAGTTTTTATTATGCATGGATGTTAAAATTAACCAAATAAACTTTCAACGTCAGTTTAGATGATTACTTGTTTCTCTTCATCTTTTTAATTGCATTAGATTTTCTAAGGTTGTAAAATTTTTAATTGTATTTAATTTTAAACTACAGCCAATTTTGGGCTTGGATGATGTGAGAAAACATTTTAAGATGCAATATTCTCTGTTACAGAAAACTGTCTTCAAAGGAGATGGAGATGACACATTAGAAAACACAATAGTTGATCAAAGGTAAGGTTGAGTTACCAGAAAAATATTATTTTCTTAAGTATATTTATTGTTGAAATAATTCCTTTAGTATTAGGATTATTTCATAGTCTGCTATAATTAGATTTAAATATTGAATGTACAAGGGGGAAAAAAGCCAGCATTATAATCTATAAGAGTAGCTCTCAACTGGGGTGATTTTATCTCCCTCCTATTCGTAACCTCCTCTGGAGTTTCTAGAAACTGGCCCTCAAATGTGGAGGGCTAAGAGAGACTGAAGGAAGAGGCAGACCACTCCAGACTGGTAAGTGGCAAATTTATTAAGCAATAGAATCTATTTATGAGGCTTGTCTTGGGAGGACACAAGACAACTGTATTTCCTCACCTGCCTTAAAAGTTTATATAGAAGCTTTAACTTGGTTCAGTCACATATAACAGGAGGCCTTAACTGGGTTCACTTACATACCTAGTGTAGATAGCCTCAGCATCACTTTACTATCTTAAGGCTGTATCTTTGGAGCAGCTTCTGGAACTGCGGAAGGCAAGCAGAACACATATTCCAGGGATAGGGGAGGGGGTGAGTAGGCTCCAATTGGCCAGGTTCAGCTCAAGGGTCAATTCGCAGTTGTTTTCTTGATGAACTCCTTCATTACCTCCCCTCCGTTGATATTTGACAAATCTGGAAATACTAATTGAGCTAAGATTGAGAACAGGAAAAAGGCAAAGTATTGATTGCTATGGATACATTTAACATGAAAATGTTGATGTTCAATTTAATTTACATATTATACATTAACCTATATTAAACAATATGCCATTTTTAAATTATGTATTTTTTCTTTAGCTTTTTAGCTCCTCTTATTATTGAGTATGATAAGCATCTGGAAGAGCTGAATAGGCAGCTGAAGTATTATCAGGTATGAAATCGTAGTTATCAAGCTTTTTATAATCTATTAAAAAAGTAAACTATACTCTTTTCAAAAACATTGATGAGGAATAAAATATTTAGCTATAACTAATCAGTTCTTCGCTGTCTGTAAGAGAGAAAGAGTTGTGTGTGTGTGTGAGTGTGTGTTTAAAAATTATTTTCAGTTTTGTTTTTTAATCCACTGTTTCCTTGCTCCTGGTATCTCCCAAGAAGATCTCTTAGATGCTTGAAGCTCTTAAACTCATTATTATATCTTTATTTTTTCCCCCAGGGAGACCCAAAACCATCTCATACTTTGAGATCTTTTCTTTACCCTCATTCTACCTGTATATCCCATTATTTGGAGAATGGATTTTTCACCCAATTTCAAATATTATGTCCATCAAATTTTAGATGCATTTGATCAGTTTCTAATATAGGCTTAAGCTATGGCAGCTTTTGTCTGAAATCCTCTTGGTAATGAGGGTTTATTTTAGGAGTGAACAGAGTGAAGAAACCAAGGACACTTCTACATCCTAGAATTTCTAAGATTAGGATATATAGCAGGCTCATGGAGAACTAGAATAACAGCACAACATTGTTCAGGATACAATCTGAGTTTCAATGATCGACATTTTTAGAATATTGTTAATATTTATAATTTGTTTCTTTGATTTTAAAAGTTTTTTACATTTTCCTCCCAAACTTTTGGACTTACTTTTTTTTTTAGAAAGAAACTTTTTTTTTTTAAGATTTTATTTATTTAATTGACAGAGAGAGAGAGACAGAGAGAGAGGGAACACAAGCAGGGGTAGTGGGAGAGGGAGAAGCAGGCTTCCCGCCGAGTAAGGAGCCAGATGCGGGGCTAGATCCCAGGACCCTGGGATCATGACCTGAGCCGAAGACAGTCGCTTAACCAACTGAGCCACCCAGGCGCCCCAACTTTGACCTTTCTGATTGTTGGGTAACCATACAAAGGAAGCATTTGTTAAAGAGATGCTATATGTCTCAAGCTAAGTCCACCAGAAGGTGATAAACTTCTTAGAGTTTGAATATACTCATCATTGTGTTTGGTTTAGATACCAATCCCTGGATCAGTTCAGTTGGGTAGCAAGGTTGATTTAATTTAATGCAAATGAAAGTATAGCCACTTTATATAAAAACACCACCTTAAGACTGATTTCCTCAGAATGGGGCTGTAAGTGTGGCAAACACTAAACTTTATTTATATCTCTTCTCCATGCAGGGACAGCAAGAGATCCTACCATATGGTTTGAAGTCTAGTGTATAATAAGCCCTCAATTTTTGATGAATGAATAAAAAACCAGGGCTTATTAGAACAAGATGATTAGATCTAGCTTAACAATATCCTGTTTATAAATTAATGGATTGACTAAAAGTGTTTTACTAAAAGAACACATAATGCTTTCATCTTCTAAAAATAAGTTAGGTTTTCCATTGCATTTGAAATTATTTATACTCTCATTTCCAGGATTAATCCTCTAATATACATTTACAAAGTGATCCTGTAGACCCAAATTTCAAAAACAAGCATTTCTTTAAATTGCCGTTCCTGTTTTATTGTAAGTTAATTAGGTGTTTTCCTAGTCTTTACTATGTGCTTTTTTTTTTTTTTTTAACCTTTGGTCATTTAAGTTTGAATCAACCATAGTAATGTCTTTTAATCTTTCTAATTGACAATTAAAGAGCAACAGAAAGCTCTCTTCTGTACACATGGCATTTTGCTTTTATTTTTAGGGCTAGTGAGTTAAAGTTTCTGCTGAATTCACTCAGGATTGCTATAATGACATATTATGTGGTTTGATTGTTATAAAATGGGGTAACTAGTTATTTTGAATTAAACTTGTAAATTTTTAATTTTTTATAATCTATCTGATTCATATATCTCTTTAATCAGCTATTTTACTAAGGTGTTTAACTTCATTTTCCCATTTAGCATTCTCAATCTAAGAGTGATTATTGAATTAATTACAAGAGAGAAAAAACTGTAGCAGAAAGCCTAAGGACCTGTAACAAGAGTAGTTGCTACTTTTAGAGAGAACAAAAGATGCTGACAGATAAATCTAAGAACAGTTGCTCACATGGATATTACTGATTAGAACTAGTTCTTAGGATTTATTGACCCAATAAAAAAATGGTTTACCTTGAATGCAAGAAAAGTATCGCTATAGTTCTCTATATGAAAAATTTTCTTCCAAAAATATAAATAAGGGAAAATTTGATAATATGAGAGGGACTGCTGAGATTTTGTTTCCTTCCAACTATTAAATATTTTGAAATATTTTACAGTAAAGAATCTTTAGTGTGACCATAATGGTTCACCTGTAATCCTAGCTATATATATATATATATTAACTATTTGAGTAAATATTTTTTAAGATACACCAACATTTTTGCAACTTTTAAAGATCTTGCAAGATTTTGCAACTTTTAAGATCAGGTTTTTTGTTTTGTCTTAATGACAAGAATCAGGATAATTGCTACAATAAAATCCAAACTTCTTAGCTACCATGGCATTCAAGACTGCCTTTCCAGTTTTCTTTCACTTCATCATCACTCAATGTATGGTCACTTCTCAATTATCTGATAGTGAATTCATTCATTTTGGTTTAATTGTGATTCATCCACAGCAAGGACCTGGGAAAGGTTCACCTTTAGAGTTGGCTGTTACTGATTTCCTAGACCAAGCTGCCACTAGCTTCTCTGGTTGAAAGGGAGGCAGAAGGGCTTGGAGCATTGCCTGTTCCACCCTTCCCTTGCCAGGTTCACTCCAGGCTTGGCTCTTCTCCTTTAGCCTAGGATACCCATTCAAGACTAATGGACATATCATGAGTTGATTGCAGTTTTGTTTTAAGTGTGATTTTACATGGCCTCCTTCCTGCTCTCCCCTTGCCCATTTACTCTCATTGAGAGCTGACAACTATGCCTGTGTTCTAATATTTTTTGCCTCTCTGCTTTTACACATATTTCTCCCTACTTGAAATGCCTTTCCTTTCCTGTTGAAATTTTACAATCCCTTTTTCTCCTCAGAATTAATCATACCAAACTCATTCTCTTTACGGTATATTTTATTCTCATTTGTATTTTAATTAGTGATACTTTTTTTTTTCTCCATTTTTCCTATTAAAGTATATGTTAGTGATGATATAGGTTTACCATAGCAACCTTATATGGTGTGGAGAGTTTAGACAGTTAATAAAGGTGGCGAATAGGAGCCTAAGTGAATTACTGCTAAAGAAGATCTCTATTTTCTTTTTCACCATTAACCTTTTACTTTTTCAGATACAAGCTCTTATATGGGCTTCAACTAAACTAAAGTGAATTAAGAATACATTCAGGGTATGGGGATCATCTGGTATTTGTTATAGTGACATACTGAGGAATATCTCTCATCTGTTTTTTTTGTAAACATCTATAAATCATAGGATTGCATTTGTGAATATTTCTCAGTGTGTCATATAAATATTTTCTTTATATTTGTTTCAAAATGAATGCTTTATTATGTTCTGTGTATCATTAAAATATCCATATTTACTAGTGCTCATTAGGAGTAAAGAATTATTGTTTCTTATCAGTAGCCTAGTGCCATGGAATCTGACTGCTTGCATAGGAATGGATTACTTAATAGAGACCTGTCTGCAAAATGTATTCCATATTTTAATCTTTCAGAAACATATGGGCGAGATGAAACTACATCTTGAAAATGTCATCAAGGAAAACGCAAGGTAGATCAATTAACTGTTGATTTTTTTATTGTTATTCTAGGTAACTCTTATTGTTGTTATTTGATATTTTATTCATATAGTATACTGGTTATGAGTACAGACTCTGGAGCCTGATTTTCTGTTTGACTCCTAGGTCCATTACTTACTAGCTATGCAACCTTAGACAGTTACTTAACCTCTTTGTGCTTTAGTTTTCTCATCTATGAATTGTAAATAATAATTTATTTCATAGTGCTGACTGTAGGGGAAGATAGGGTACATAATAAACGCTTTATAAATATTAGCAATCATTAATAAGATAGTTATTTTAATCACGTATGTTATGAATCATACTGATAAAACAAAAACTGACAATCCACCATCCAGTTAAGAGTTTAAAAAAGTTACCAATACTGGTACATCTACCCATGTTTTCCTTCCCTATCCCATTCCTCTCCTGCCTTCTGCCAGATATTAACACTTTCTTGAATTTTGGGTTTATCATTCCCTTGCTTTTTAATTTTTTTTTTTTTAAAGATTTTATTTATTTATTTGAGAGAGAGAGAATGAAAGAGAGCACATGAGAGTGGGGAGGGTCAGAGGGAGAAGCAGACTACCTGCCGAGCAGGGAGCCCGATGCGGGACTCAATCCAGGGACTCCAGGATCATGACCTGAGCCGAAGGCAGTCGCTTAACCAACTGAGCCACCCAGGTGCCCGCTTTTTAAATTTTTTAATAGGTGTGTGTATCCTTAACAATTATTATTCAGTTTTGTATTTTTTTTTAGCTATATAAAAATCATATCATTTAGTCTCCTGGGACTTTTTCTTCTACTCAGTATCGTGCACAAACAAGCACAAGAGTTTCAAGGGATAATCTTGCTGGATCATAGATTATATTAATACTCAGTTTTACAATATAACACCAACTTAATTTCCAAAGTGGCTATACCGATTTACATTCCCACCTGTGATATTTATGAGTTCTTATTGATCTATATGTTTTTATCAGCACTTAGTCTTACCAGGTTTCTTAATTTTTGTTATTTTGAGTCTTAAATGGTTTTTCATTGTGGTTATAATTTAACATTTCCCTGAATGCTAATATGGTTAACCATTTTTCATATGTTTATTTACCCATGTGATTTTCTTCTCTCGTTAAATGCTTGTTCATTTCTTTTTCCCACTTTCTATATACCTTTTCCTTATTAAATTGTCAAAGTACTTTATATACTCTGTAATCTGAATATTTGTTGGTGTGCCGATCTGTGTCAATGCAGTAATAATACTGTAAACGATAACCATTGTAGAAATTTCAGAGAGGAAGGGATTTAGTCACTTACATGTAAGTACTACTAGATCGCTGGTTTTAAGATCATAACTTAGGGGCTGTGATCTGGAGGTCAGAAATTTATGGTGCTGCCACCATCTCTGTTGCTACTCCTACAGCATCATTTCCATAAAGCTAGAGTCTTGCCATTGGAAAGCGAGGCACAGGGTATTGACTATAAGGATACTCTCATGTCTGTCCAGTTTTGCTTGCTATCTGTCATACCAATAGAAAAATATTTCAGCTCACTTCTGTTTTCCATATCCCCCTCAAGTGCCTCTCACTGGTGAAACTTTAATCCCACCCACAACTCCAGCTACAAGAACCACTGAGAAATATAGTTTTAGACTTTCAGCCACTGTGCTAGAGGCTGGAAGATGAAAAGGGATGGGAATGAATAATGTTGCTACAGTACCATACAACATGCTAGCCAATAGGTGTTTCATATATCTGTTCCCAGGTTATGATATATTTCATGAAAAGAATTTTCTATTTTGTTTTTAATCTGAAGGTAGGTGACTCCATCTTTTTTCTTATGGTTGTTATTCTTCATGTCTCTAACAAATCCTCCCCCAGCCTGTGATCATAAAGATCTGTTTTGGGCTAAAAATGTTTAAAGTTTTATTCTATCCCAAGTTTCTCAACTTTAACTTTTAAAGATCATGTAGCTGGGCTGAAATCTGATACATCTTTTGTTGTTGACTTGTATAACTAGACCAAACAGGGAAGAAATAATTTTGTTTAGTTCTAAATTCATTTAAAACATGGGCTCTTTTATTTTTTTTTTTTTAAGATTTTATTTATTTATTTGCCAGAGAGAGAGAGAGCGCATAAGCAGGCAGAGAGGCAGGCAGAGGGAGAGGGAGAAGCAGGCTCTCCACTGAGCAGGGAGCCTGACGTGGGGCTCGATCCCAGGACTCTAGGGTACCTGAACCGAAGGCAGCCGCTTAAGCTACTGAGCCACCCAGGTGCCCCTAAACATGGGCTCTTTTAAAGCTAGCATTCTTTTGTATGTATTTTGCTATATATAGCAGTTTCCTTTTTTATTGTTAATTTATTTTAGTGTAATACATGTTGTTCTTTAGAATAGAATAATCTAGAACTCCCATGGAATTCGTATGTCTTGCTTTTGACTATTTTGTCATTTTCTCCCTTCCATTTTAAAAAATATGTTTCACTATTTCTTCTCTTTTCTAATTTCTGAAAGTTTCATATGTTTAAGCTAGTTGGCTGAAGTGTAAAATAAATCTTTTAATTGGGTTTTCAGTTTTCTTATTTGCTTTTCCCTCATGGAAAAGTTTTTCTAACTTTAACTTTTTATGATTTACTATTCTATCTCAAAAAAATTATTAAATAAGCCATGCTGTTCCTAACAAAGAACATTGCTAAGATTTTTGAATCACCAATGTATGTAAATTAAGCTTGTATTTTAATGTAATGGGGATAGAAAATGTATTATATGGTTGAGATAATCATTTTGTTTCCTATATTTGATTCCACATACTTACTTCTTTTCATGTCCAGGTCTTTTTAAGCCAGTCTTTTAAAAATCTGCCTTTACCTATTTAACAGTAATGTGGTCATGTCTCATGAGTGTATTTATTCCTAGTACAACAGGAAAGTGGGAAAAAATGGATTCTGAGCTTATTAAAAAGACACTTTTAGTAATTTGAAAATGTTCTCAGGTTTTAAAGTGAATTCTGCTTATTATGTTTTTAGGGCAACATCCTATCTTTAATTATGTATTGCAGTTAAGGACTGCAAAATCAAGAGAGTTTATCATTTTTAAGGAAAGTATCTTAAATGTGTATACATGGTCAGTTCTGAGTAATGGAAGCTAGCAGTGACATGGATTATATAGTAGTATGCAATTCTACACTGTTGGGTTTTGGAAACATTTTAATATTTACATTTTTATATGGGTGGATATAATGTGGGAATTGACTACAGATAGGAGATAATGAAGTCATTTAAATCAGGCTAAGGAAGAGGTGAAAAAATATTTTCCTTCCTCCCATTTTTAAGTCTGTTCCTTGAAATCTAGTTCATGTTGAGAATATAGTGTTTTATATTTTGTTTTGTACTAAATTTTTTCTGTAATACCATCTTTTCTCCTCAAAACTTATCAGAGGAAGTAAATTGGGTAAGATAATGAAATGCAGGATTATATGTACAACACTTTCTGGCACTAAATACTAATTTTTATTGTTTGTTATATTATTATTCAGGCTATGGAAGACATCATTTGTTGCTTCCATAAGAGCCATTTTTATTTATTTTATTATTATTATTTTTTTAAAGATTTATTTATTTATTTGAGAGAGCGAGAATGAGAGAGAGAGAGAGTACATGAGAGGGAGGAAGGTCAGAGGGAGAAGCAGACCCCCTGCCGAGCAGGGAGCCCGATGCGGGACTCGATCCCGGGACTCCAGGATCATGACCTGAGCTGAAGGCAGTCGCTTAACCAACTGAGCCACCCAGGTGCCCAATAAGAGCCATTTTTAATTCTTTCATTCAGCTCTGATTTTGTTCCAGTGTCACTGTGCTCAGGGGAGATGAGCTGCTTCCACAGTTTTAAGTGATAAGTCTTTTATTCACACTAGTTTGAATTTCTTTTTGCCAGGGATTGGTCTAGGAATGAACACGGGACCCTACTTTTAGCCAGTGAAGTTAAGAGAAAATCTGTTGTAGAGCTTCTCGTAAAGAGTTTTCTCCCTGATTTAAAAAAAAAGGCTGGCAAGAAGAAAGCTTTACCTCTTTCCAGCTTCTTGTTATTTTAGAAAGTGATATGCGAAGTTGGTATAGCCATTTTGTATCAGTGGAGGTAGATACCAAGATTGAAAGAAGGGAGAGATGAGAAAACCTTTGGTCCTTATTATATTATTGAACTGCTGAAACAAATCTGGAACCACTTACCCTCCCGATTTAATATTAGATGAAGTAATAAAATATTCATTCAGTCATTCATTTATAAGTATTTATTGAGTGCTTATATGTACCAGCACTATTCAAGTGAATATATCAGTGATAAAACAGACAAAAATGACCAAACGTACTTGGAGTGCCTGGGTGGCTCGGTTAAGCATCTGTCTCTTGATTTTGGCCCAGGTAATGATATCAGAATCCTGATATCAAGCCACTTGTTGGGCTCCCTCCTCAGTGGGGAGTCTACTTGTCCCTCTTGCCCTCTGCCCCTCCCCCCACTAGTGTGTGTACTCTCTCTGGCTCGTTCTCAAATAAACAAATAAATCTTTTTAAAAAAATGACCGTCCTTATTTTTTGTTAGTCATTTTGTTACTTACAGCCAAAATATACTAACTGATAGAGAGACTTAATTGCATCTGTCAGATGCATAAACTACAGCCTGTGGGCCAAATTTGGCCTGCTACCTTTTGTAAATAAAAGTTTATTGACTCAGCCACATTCATTCATTGATATATTGTCTATGGTAAACACTGCTGTTCTTGTGCTACTTGAGGTGCTGTGAGGAAGATCATCCCCAAAAGTCTGCCAAAATCCTAAGCTTTATAAAGTTTCAAATTTCCATTTCAAATCTCATATAAAGCCAGAGCTACCCTGATTTCTCTGTGTCTCTGTTTATAACTGAGTTTATTGTTCTCTATTTATGTGTATATTCATACACTCTGTTTGTTATATTATTATTCAAGCTATGGAAGACATCATTTGTTGCC